TGGTCTTTTCCTGAGACTCATAATTACAAACTCAATATTGGTGGTGCTTCCTTGAGAAATCCAAGTTTAGCAAGTGGTGGTGGAGTTATCAAGAACAGTGCGGGCCGCTTTATTGCTGCTTTCGCAAAGCATTTTGGTTTTGCTTCTAATAACCATGCAGAATTCTTGGCATTTGAGGAAGGAGTTCAATTGGTTATTCAAAGTAATTGCTTTCCAATTCAGATTGAAAGTGACTCGGCATTGTTTGTGAATGTCATTCAGAATCGATGCAATGCTCCATGGAGGCTAAAGATGATTGTAAACAATTGTTGCACTAGACTGTCTTCTCATCGATGGTCCATTACACATGTCTTTTGTGAGGCTAACATGGTTGCTGATGCCCTAGCTAAGAGGGCAGCTGCTCGCCCCGGTGCCCTACCATAGGGTTGTATCTTAATTGTTTTTCTTTGCTCTTCTATTAATAAAAAACGAGTAGGGGGCTTTCTCCCCCACTGACTTACCCAAAAAAAAGAAATGTTGTTGTTTTTTTTTTTTTGAAAGAAGTGTTGGGTTTTGTGGCCTTTAAAGGTCTAGAGAGCTTATAAAAATGATGTATACTGAAATATGCACTTCAATGGGAGTGTGAGTTGATTGACTAAGGATTGAGTGGTTTATGGCCCTGGTCATGTCTAAAACCCTTAGCCTTGGGCATGTGGCACAACCGAGAGATGCCCAAGGGTCATCCCTTATTGAGGTCGGAGAGATGCCCAGGGGTCATGTTTGTAGGTCAAGAGAACTGTGTGTTCTCCTGTGTGTAGTTGTAGGCCTATAAGAGCAAGGGTCAAATCCTCAACAAACTTCAGCATAGCATGTACATATGACAGCCGCATGCGAAGCAACCCTTTTTAGAGGGTATACATGTACATGTGCATTGAGAGAGCCCCATTTGCACCGTAGTGACAGGTGCTAAACTTGCTCTTAAAGGGGGGGGACTGTAATTTACATTCTAGAATCATAGTCCTATTGTTTTATTATCCAACTTTGACAAGCCAATCATGAGCCCCTACAAAGAGACTGTGGGTCATGGGACTTTGTTGGGTTGGATAATAGAACATATGGATCATGGTTTATGGGGCGAGTGGAGTGCCCTTAGTGTCGCCTATTTTGACCTACTGGTACCAGTCAACTCCTAGTATATTTTATCTAGGTATTATAAATATTTCTTTGATTTTTCAATATTTTTTCAGAATTTTAAAATATTGTTTCTTTTGTAAATTTTCATAAAAGGGTACTTTTAAAAATTTCAGAGCTTTAAAAATAACACGTGGGACCACGGATCCAACCCCACATGTGGCACGCCATGCACCCTAGGGACCACGCCCTATTTTTGTATAACATATCTGGCACGCCCTATTTTTTTTTTTTTTTGCTAAAGGGGGAGTACGCCACCTTTCTAGCTAAAAGGTGGCATGCCAAATACTTTAACAAAATAGGGGCACGCCACTATGTTTGGTAAAATATTGGCTCACCACTTTTTGAGGAAAATATGGGGAAAATCCCCCTCGCCATTTGTTTTGGGGAGTAAGAGGCACACCCCCTTATTTCTTTAAAATTCAAATTTAAACATGATAAATCTAAAGATGAGAGTTTCCCAATATTGTGGGAAATCTATATTAGATTTATCTAGAAATCATTTTACGTTTGATTTCAAATTTAAAAGGGATAAAGTTTGAATTTGATTGGTTTGATTTTAAATAGAAGTGGATTGGATCAAAATGTAAAGGGATAAGGTTCCTAATTTATCCACTCAAAATCACGATGGCTGATTTTTGGGATCGATGGCTCTGATTAATCTCTCAATTTCCTAATTGCCCTAAAAGGTTTTGTTGAAAATTAGATAAGGCAAACTAGGAGACAAGTTTTCTTTTATTTAACAAGGAGTTTGAATCTATTTGAGATCTAACCATTAGATCTTATTCCTCTCTCTCCGAAAGATCTCTCTCCAAATCACCAATTTGGGGAGACCTCTCTCTCCCCCCACGCACCAATTTGGGGGATCTCTCTCTCCCCCTCATTAAGCAATTGGGTAGGGACCTCTTTTTCCCTCTCTCACGGCACCTATCTCTCTCACTCTTTCAACCAAAAGAGAGGCACGCCACCTCTCTCTCTCTATGTTTTTGTCTTTGGAAGAAAAAAATAGAGGTGGCCTATTTTTCTTGGAGAAACCCTAAAGTAGGATTGCTGTATTTTTCAAAGGAAGAAGAGAGAAGCTTAACTTAGAGAGATATGAACTCCGAGATCAGCACTATTTTGTTCCAATAGGGTTTGTATAAACCCTAGGTTATTTTTTAGCTCTCTTAAACCCTATAGAAAAAAGGGTAGCCTACAAAGCTTCCCCATCTAAGAATTTCTGGCAACACCTTAAAGAGGAAAAGTGCGTCATTGGTCAAGGAATCGAATGTGGGGTGTACCAAGTCCTGGTTGGGTAACTCCATGTATCTTTCAGTAAGTCTTCCCATTAGTTTTTATTTATTCTCAGTTTTATTTTCTATTTTTCTGTAATTTTTCAAAAACCTATATTGTGTTAAAAATTGTTATAAAGGCTATTTTAAAGTTCTTGGATAGTTTCTATTTCTCTTGCCAGTAAAATAAAGATCCTAAGTTGTATTTAGAGCTTATTTTCAGCAATATATTGTAGCATATGTAAATGGAATTCAAATATTTGGAATAAAAGTAACAAGAGATTTTTGAATTTAATACCTTGAGTTCCATATAGCCACACCTTTCAAGAAGGTTCTTGGTCATCACCAGAATTAATTGGCTGGATATTACTTATTCTTAAAGGACACACCTGCAATCCTGAGTGAACTTTCTCTTTCTGGAAATGATGTCTATTTCTTTGTTGGATTTGATGAGGCCCTTGAATGAGAGCACTTGCGGGTCATGAGTTTATTGGGTTGGTTTGAAGGTTGGTAGTGATCATGATTGCTCTCTAGAAGTGCCTAGTGGAAAGTAATTTTACTTTTGAAGCATGCTCAATCTTCCAATGAGATGTAGGTAGTGATTATGAGATTATCTAAGAGTGCTTAGTGGAAAGTAATTTTCCTTACCAAGCACGCTCAATCTTCCAAGGATATCTTTCCTAGTTTTTCTTTCTTTCATGTTTTCTGAGAAAGAAAAATATTTTTGGCTGCCTCAATCTTGTGTTATTTTATTTAAAATACAATAGGATTTTTTAGCATATATAAATTTGTTTTCTTAGAAAGGAATTTTCTGAAAAATAATTTTCTTTTTGCACCATTCTTGGAAATTGCAAACGAGTAGGGCAAGAATATAATTGTCACGTGGGTCACACCAGAATACACATTTGGGGGCCACACATGGGCCAAATGTGGTCACTTGAGGCCCATTCCAATGGGTGCCGTGTGGTGCTCATATGTGGGGCCCATGGCTGGCATGCACCACTCTGTTTTGGTTTCCAAGATCTTTTTTTTTGTATTATTAATTCTTAAACAATGAGGTAGATTGTAGATCTCCTAGGATTATAATGATTCCAGGGGATTATGAATTATCTTCTACAAGAATTCAGGTTAGTTAGGACCAGGTCTGATTGGTTTAGGACTTCAAGTAAACAAGGAATTCTAAGAAGGTGCAATCCTAATAAAATTGGAAGACTATTGGAAAGATTCCTATTAGGATAAGGGTGTGATTCCAGCCCTTGGATCATGAAGGCTGATCAAGGGTTGATGGCTACGATTTAATCTCTCATCCCTTAGGTTTCCCACTTCTAGTAGAACGCAAAGAACTTTATTTCCTAAATACCCCTAAACCATGTCCATATAGAGCATACCCTCTTCGCTTCTCACCTTCTCTTATGAACCAAAAAAGTGAGCGGGAGATTCGTGGAGAGCTAGAGAATCCCTAGGATGGTTTTGAAGAGAGAAAATAGTGGAAAGAGAGAGAGGGTGGTGCATTGGAAAGGCGAAGGTTTTCCATGAAGCAGTTTTAAGGGGATGTACCTTGTTTCTTTCTTCCTTCAATTTGAGTCTCTGCAACTCCATCTCCAAGAAACCTTGAAGAAGAAATCTTTGCCTCCAAACTAGTCCAGGGAAACAATAAGGGTTGTAAGAAGTCATAGGGAGTGGTGATCTTGGGCAAGAAACAGTTTGCCATTTTTGCTTGCAAATTTCAGAGGCCTTCAAGCCCCTGGTTCATCATGGGTTAGTGACATTCCTTGGTGCAAGGTATGACTATTTTGTTTGGTTTTGAGTATTCTACCTCCATGAAAATTTCATAATATTCTCAACCATATTTTGGGAGATATAGATATGTTATTGCAATTGTGTTCTATCTATTTTTCTTCCGTGAACTGCTAATTTTTTTTTAAAGTTATACCTTGTGTCACCCAAGCCTGAGCACAAACAGAGCAGAAAGGCCTGGTTCATCGCATAGGAATGATAAATCTCTATGAATATTTTTGTTAACCTTAGATCCTTTTTGCGATGTTTAGAGAGCTAAAGTGACCTTCAACGGCGAGCAGATGGGATGCAAGCCATTTATTGCCTCAAATGTAGGACAGTAGGAGACTTGGAAGGATTTCCCAGGATTTTCATGAAGAGTCAGTTTGGGAAGGGGCACTAGCATGCAATTTTTCAAAGAAGAACACCTAAGTATATGTAGGTTGTAAAGCTCTTTCATGCCCATAGAGAGAAATATGATACAAGCAAAAGTCCTGCAACCTTGTGTGCTTACCCTACAGGCACACATGGGTATGCAAGTCATATGAAGGTTAAATTTAGTTATAAAATAAATTTAAGGTACAATAAACTTTATCTGAAACAAACAATAAACATGACATTCATAAAGAAAAAGAGAAAAAAGAAAAACACAATTAAATAACATGCACTAAAATTGCTTCACCCTGTACACAAGAAAACAGTCTCTAAAAATAATGAAAGAAACCCAAGTGTGAGGTTTAAATGGAAAGAGTACTCTTCATCTTTGAATGCCCGGAGTACAACCTGCAACAATTTGTTGGATGATATTCCACAATAACTTTGAAGCAAATAGGCCAATGACTTGTACGGTTTAGACAACAGCTCACACGCCTGTCAAACACAAATATGAGAAATCCATTCACGGACTTAGGGTGCAACAAACACTGAATAACCAGAAAAACCGAAGTATCACACAGGCAACATGCAGAAATATGTATGCTCTAGATATAACCATTCCATTGGACAGTTTTAACAGAAATTTGAAAATGGAATTATTGCTAGTGAAGCCCATGAGGTTGTAAACATTTGCGCAAGTATACTGGATCATTCATATCCATCACAGTTATTGAGGATTTAATGCTAAAAAAAATTCCACTTTATCTCCTATCACAAAATAATTGAGATTCAACAGTCTAATAAAAACTGATGCAGGATAATTTAGCCAAATGTAAGAACAGTGTTCGTACAAAGAGGTAAAATATGATACCTTAATGCAAATAGGTTACATATTCATTCCCAATCTATGAAATATAACCAGCAAACCAAACAGAAAAACAAGCCCAAGCTCATCTGGGAAAAGGCAAAGCCAACTGCACATCCATTCTTGTAAATGAAATAAACTTCACTTAACCATCGCTAGATCAGGTATTCCTTACATAAAATCTACATCTTCATAGAACGTGAACAGCTTACTTTAGCAGTATCAAACAAGTTCACTACATAGATGTGAAAATCTCGTTGAAGCCACAGAATATCATTATCAGCTCCATGCAATATCTGCAAAGAAAGAAGTAGTTGCCAATTAACAGATACCATATGCCTGTTATAAAACTCAGATATGACAAACGATAAATGCATCATTCAATTCCATCAAAAGAAATTGGATATAGCAGTCAGTAGCAAGATAAAGCTATGTACTGGAAACATGTTTAAGAACCATCTTCTGCCCATCAGTTCAAAAAGTAAGTGGTAGATGCTCATTTTATAGTGTAGGACGAAATGAAGATGGGGCAATATCCAAGAGAAGACTAGTTGGATTTATTTCACGTTGACCCAGGTGTCTAGATATATATTACATAATTCATTTCCAGTACCATTTTATGCATGTGAAGATCCCTGTGATATTGAAGTGATCAGCATCCTACATCACATTTCTTGCATGAATTGTCGGCTTTCTGCGAGTTACCTACCTAGTATTCTGGGGGATATGATTAGTAGAAGATTCAAGGAGAAGGAAAAGAAGTAAGTGCTTGGCAATGAATGCAGCACGCAAACACACACAATATTACGTATCCATAGTTTCTAGGGAGGAAATGCAGATTGTGAAGGATCTGAAATAACATGCAGACTGGTTATAGTGTTAGATGGTCCAAATGTTAAAAAGAATACCAACCAGCTCATGCATGTCACAGGTTTTTGGAATTACATGCTGAGTTTTGCAAGAAACCCAAAAATAATTATCAAGTTTCTATCCATATATTTCACGAAATCACCAGGGATAAGTGTTATCCAGGACATAACTAGCAACTGATTTTGTGTAATTTAATTTATAGAATACTGAAGACAAAAAGATAAAAAAGCTCCACAAAGATCTACTACCATAAACCTATCAATATGAATATAAAGATTTATCTATATACCTTTATGTATGAAACCACAAGGCCAATAGGTCTTATTAACTCATTTAAGCATATAGCGGTAAACAAAAGAAATGAAAATTGACTGAACTTTCCAAACATGTACGACATATTGAACAAAGGAAAGAATTCTATACTTACCATTCTTTTACATGAAAAGGACATTTCACTCTCTCCCTCTCTTTTGTAAAAATATCCAAAATAGGCCCATCATTGATCTAACAGGTGGAGAGAAAAACCACATACAAATCTCTCCCAAATTGAGTGGCAATAAATTCAATTTCTTCAGCTTCTCAAAACGACACCCAAGTGGCTGTCAAATGATGCTATTGTTAACTCTAAGAGTGGTGGTGCAGGACACATTGGGATTCATATTTTTTATGTTTATTTAATGGGTGAGGTTTACATAGGTTGCCTCCTTGTACTGTAGAAGTAAGTACGCTTCTAAATTTCAGTGTCAGGAACCTTATGATGGCTTGAAAATTTGTATTCGACCTAATCATGACATTGAAAATTCGAAAATTAGTACAAATCGAGTAGATTTATAAACATTTGAAAATCTTGAAAACAAATGGTCCAGATAACTTGTTAGAAGGTTTACTTTTTCTCGACTTGGAATTCTTTTGTTTTTTCTTTATATCCATACATCTCGAGGTCGAGATGATCGATTCGAAGGTTTTCCTACTTCGAAACACAGGAATAAGGTTGCAGCCTCATATAAACTTTTTCCTTATTGAATTCCATGGATGTATTTTTAGGGTTTTTTATTTTTTTAAGGATTTACTTAGAGATAGCTAGAAGCTTGGCCTATAAGCTTCCACTTTTATTTTCAATCAAATTTTCAGTTCTTTGATTTCTTCTTGTAAATTCTCCACCATGTTAGTTGGCAAGTCCATTTCCAAAGTGCCCGAGACACTTACTGTCACGACCCCGCCCCCTGATCCCTACCATACCACGCCGGAGGATGACAGAGTGCGGGATCGCGACCGGAGGTCGAACGCCACTCAGGTGGGAGTGAACTCAACGCATTATAAAGGAACGAAATCAGAGCAAACCACAAAATAAAACATAAACTCCCACAAGGGCCACAGAAAAAGTCAGATA